AGTCGGGTAACATTCGTTGGTGTATATATATACGACCGAGTAATTAAAAAAACTGCTCCATTTACCAAATCGAGGAATCACGGTGCAGATAAAGCGAGCAATCGTAAAGAAAAAAAAAAAAAAAAAGGAATAGAACAAGAATTGGTCTTCATCGTCCACATTATGTGTGTACAAAGTGCACGTGTGGGTGTATAATACATACATATACATTATAAGCAGCAGTGGTTCTCTCTTGGAAAGTTCGGGATATGTATCAGAGACCGAGCTCGCGGGGGAGGGGCATCCAGCGTGAGCAACAGTGCACACGGGAGAGAGAGAGAGAGAGAGAGAGAGAGAGCAGAGAGAAAGAAAGAGAAGGCTGGACGAGGAGAGAAGAAAGAGGAGGAGGACGAGGGGTCAAGAGACTTCCCGAGAGCACCAGCCAGGCGACGACGAACTCGCGAACGAACCTCTCTCTGTTGCTTCCACACGCGTCACACGGGGGAACACTTTTCTTCCCCCCTTTTTATCTCGGGTCCCCGGGAGTACTGGGCAACTAATATTTTTTATATTGTTCTTGGCGCACTTAAATGGGGTTTTGCTACTAGGGGCCATTCTTTCGAGACGCGAACATCCAGTTTCTTACACTCAGCTCTGTATAGAAAATACACCTGTGCTCCCGAAATTTTGCGCGCATCAGCTGTGCTTCTGAAATATACACCGCTACGCTAGGCAGTCCCAGATATAGTGGCCCATATAATATATTATACAATATCCAAGTGCGAAACTAAATACCATTCGTTGTCTCTCACTTTCTCAGATACACTGTCGACCGAATTAAAAAGTAAAGCAACGGTGCAGGCAGCTGCTACCCCACTGTGTGGAGATTTAAATATTAAATGTACCGAGGTTTAGCTGAACCCTACAAAAAAAAGATAGCTTGCCACTGAAGAACGTCCCTTGAATATTTTATCGAATAGTTTTTGTAGTTTTATGTGTGTTTTTGCATAAATCGAGTACCATCATAAATAAACTAACCTAAGCTTTTGACATATAAACCATTACCATCACTACAATTTATGGTAATAACGAATATTATAACTTTTTAAATTATTTTTCATTTTCTTCAACTGATACGAAAACATTTTACAGTTATTACTTTATTTTTTTTTTCAATCTTCACTGCAGCAAAAGTATTGAAAAAAATAAATAAACATAAATATTGAAAAATGTTGTTTTAAGATCCACAACTCTTTGAAACCAAATTCATACGACCTTAGTATACAAAGAAAATTATTTTAAAAAGTACTCTGTGTGGGTATTACAATCATTATTATTTTTTTTTTTCATTCAGTAAAAACAACGAGTATTCCTGTTATTTGAGGAATAAATTTTTTTTTTCTACTTTATTTAATATCCTCACTTGTAGCCTAAAAAAATATTGTTGATCGAAAATTTGTTTTTATTTTGATTGATAGCGCATTCGCTTCTAAAACACAATTCACGCGTGTATGTAAGTACTAAAAACACGCGAAACCAACTATCCACAACTGCGCTCGATGCGCATCACGGGACGCGCGCCTTATTTTAGAACACAAAACAAAAGCTCCTTCCCTTAAGACAGAAGAAAAAAAAAAAAAAAAAAAAAAAGCGAGATGAAGAAAGCCGGGGAATCCCAGACACTCAACGGCAGAGTAGACGAAAGCGCGCTCACGGTATTTAAAGAGAGACCCATAGCCCACACTCCAATCGAAGTCGAGTGAGAGGGAAAATTGGAGGAAAAATAAGAGAAAACAAACAAAAACAAAAAAAAAAATTATATTCCTCGCCACTATAATTATACACGTACACTTTCGGACGGTAAAAATAGGCGCGTGAACTGTAACGCGAAGCTTCGGAATAGCGCGAAAACGAGAGGGACGGAAGGAAAGGAAAGTGTTCCATTTGCCGTGTACTTATATTGTATACGGCGCGTCGAAAAACACACGACTAATGAGAAAAACGGAGAAGCCGGATATACGCGTTGAAGAGAGCTCCAATGATGTTGTTGCAAACGACGAGGACGGGGAGAGCGCAAAAAATGCCGTTTTATTAGCACATAATATGTGTACACACACGCACTCGCACGCTGTTCATTGATTAATAATTTCTTGTTTTCTCCCTAACGAGATGGATATTTTTTTTTTTTTTTTTTTTGTTCAAAGTTTGA